TATTATATTATTAATGGGTGGGAGAGAGAGAGAGAGAGAGAGAGAGAGAGAGAGAGAGTTTATGGTGATTTTACGGGAGTGGCCTTCTCGGTGGGGCTGAAGCAGTGACATATCGACGAAGAACGGGGTGAAAGGGCATAACTGTCATTCAATGTCTAGAATTGAAAATGTGTGAAATTCGATCTTTTTCTTATGCAAGAAATTTGATGAATTCCGAGAAAATTTTTGATGAAGTCCGAGAAAAACTACGACGATATCGAATCTCGTTCATTCATACATTCTCTTTCGGTCGATTACGTGATATCAATTAAAATTTGATACCAAGTTTCTAAAATCATTAATATGAAAATATAGATATTTATAAGATATTTGTGTAATAATATGAAAAATTATATTTTTATTACATTATCATGTGAGTAATTGCTTCCATTAAAATGCGTATGGATCCACTCGTTCATATGTATTAAGAGTAAGCAAGTAATTCCATTAAAGTTTTGTCACATTCGATGGGAAACTACAAATCATCAATCAATTTCATGAATTTCTAATATTTACCATTTTATAGCTTAGTGTAATCAAAGAATGTAACAAAAATGTAAAGAGAAGGCGTTTGCGTGGGTGGTCCAAGTTCGTGTGATGTAACTTGTGAATCACTCGTCCAACCTCTCATCATTTTAATTTCACATGAAAAAAAAAACTATAAAATTTAAATAAAAACAAAACGTTTATATTTAAATTTAAGGGATATTTTACTATCCCTCTTCATCAAATTATAAATATTTGTTTGGTAATCAAAAGCAAACCCAAATTCTACAACATAATATAATTTAAAAAAAAAAACGATATCAATTCTATATAATAAATTTATAATGATACGATCGTTCTTTAAGAATTTCTTGTATACAATTAATGCACACATCACATGCATGCATTCATACAAGAAAAAGCAACGTCGACTGTATGATATGTCCTGATAGGAGAGTAATGAAGTCGCGCGCTTTTACACGATAAGCTGACGCATTATATAAATGTGAAAATAAATTTAGATTAATGTTAGGTGTCAAAAAAAAAAAAGAAGGTGATATGAAATTGACGTTTGAGTGGTGAAGAAGGGAGTTCCATACACAAACGCCATCACAGCTTTTAGCCTTAGGTTTCAAGAAAAAGATACTTCCACCAATACGCATCTCCCATGTATCGTGAAATAATCATTGGATTATACAGCCGGTTTAGGTGGTTTTGATTCGGTTTTGTTGCACGGATTTAATTTGTATAAAACATACGCTCTACATGAATCATTGGATCAACAACAACAACAAAAAATATATATTGAAATCTTATCTGAATATCCAAAATTCAATATGGTATCATAATAATCTCCTGTTAATCATGGAAATATTATGTGAAAAATATTATAAGGAATTGGTTGAGGGAGACGTATACGTTTGATGAATATGCATGCCCATGTGGGTGTTCATATCTCCCGCAAGGTTTTTAGGGTTATAAAAATTAAAGGGAGGCTTTGTTTTTTTTATTTTTATTTTTTATTCTGAATGTGACATTTCATCCAAATTCACTAAAAAAAATGATTATTTTTAACGGACAAATCCATTAGAAATGGCCAAATTTCCGTTGGATTTTTAAAAAAAAAATAACCGAAATTCGTAGGAATTCCGTTGGAAGTTTTTTAAAAAAATAACCGAAATTCGTTAGAATTACGTTGGATTTTTTAAAAAAAAAGTTTTTCCAACCGATATCCGTTGGAATTCCGTTGGAATTTTTTCCCAACCGAAATCCCTTGAAAATTTTTAACTGATTTTTCCAACTGACGATCAGTTTTAAACGGATTTCCGTTTGAAATGCCGTTGAAAATTTTCAATCCAATTTTTTAATTGAATAAGGTGAAAATTCTGTTAAAAATTTCTAACGGGAATTTCCAACGGATATCCATTGAAAATTTTAATGGAATTTTAACGAAAATACCATTGAAAATCCGTTAAAAAATTTTCAACGTATTCTAACGGAAAAATTGATTGGAAATCGGTGACTTTTTTTTAATGATTTTATATCTCTCTCATAAAAAAAAATTAACACAACGATTCTTTGTTTTTATCGTTTGATGATTTACAACGCACTATTTGATTTTTTGTTGTTCCTTTTTTTTTCATATTTATATACTTTCAAGGCCGAGTCGGAATTCTTACGAAATAATTATAACCATAAAAAAATATTGACTCAATAGTCTGATCCAAACGTAAAAATGTAACAATAACACTCTAAGATAGCCTCGGTTTGAGATCTTTTAATGTATTAGATATCCATTTTAATTCTTTAATGGACTAGTTGGACCAAAATATTCAATAATCTTTATATATATAATTTTAGGGTTCGTGAGTTAGGGGTATAAAATTGCAGGCGGTAGAGGTCAAGGTGAACTAATCCATGATGGGTTTAGAGAGTAATCGACTTCACTAATCTGTTTCCTAATCACAACATTTTACCTTTCTTTTTCGTAAATGATTATTGAATGTGACATCTTAGAGATGGTCATGTAAAAGCCATTAGATATTATTCGTAACCTAAATACACATTATCATGAGTTTGTCGTTGACCTGTCCCATGCATATTTAGATCTCAATGTTGGACAACACCCGCTTCATAATATGTTCCATGCTGCTTAACCAAACCTTTTATTATTATATTATTAATGGGTTTGAATCTATTCGGCCAAAACCGAAGTTTATAAAATATTGTCATATATTGATTAGAAAATCAAACATAGTTTAGTGTGCCTATTGGCTATTGGGCATGAAATGGATATTCGGATGTATTGGAGAACAATTTCAAAAAAAAAAATTAATTGCAAAACGAAATCAAGCCCATGAGTGCTGGGCCTTATTCAGCCCAATCTTATAATACCGAAAAAGAAAATTATAATATATATTGGAAAGAAAGATCTACACATTTCCCGAATTTCATTTTGTAACAGCGAATTACAAAATCTCGATCTTCAATTATTTGATTTTGTAAATTAATTCAGCAACTAAGAAACAATATGTTTCTTTTATTGGATCAAACTCCATATAAAATATACATCACCGAGTTCATGACTTTACATTATGATTCAGACATGGACAAATCTATCTATCTACACCTATCAAATGTAATTTACAGAACCAAACCCATGAACAAGAAAACAGCAAACCCTTTTTAACTGATCTTCAACGAAAAGTTTTGAAGAATCGGCTGCACCAAAATCATCTTCTCCGTGTCCTAATCTTTCATTCTGTGTGTCAAGCTCAGGTGAATAGAGACACTGAGATTCCAGAAACTTCCTTACTGGTTATCAGTGACCGACCAAACCTCTTTAACCTGGGAGCTCCCGGGGCTTCGATCTCATCCCCAGAATCAGTTGGCTCGTCTGAATTGAATCCGCCATGGAAAACCAACGTTTTCTTCGGCGTGCTGTACGCGAAATGCGACTGCTTCGCGATCAATGTCTGTGGAAAAACAACACCAGAATTGGAATCAGGAATCGGCAACTTTGAATTTCTTTTGATTGGAAATAGAAAGAAGGCGTATCATATATATACTTACAGCTTCTCTTACTGTCTTTGACACATGAAACAACTGTTTCAAGTCGTCGTGCTCGACATGACAGAGAACCCTAACCTGTGAAATCATCAGACATTTGGATTCAAGATTAAAACTTTCAGCTCAATTCATCGTTCAGGAGATCCAATCCCCAAAACCCAGTTGGGAAATGATTCTGGGAGTTGAAAGACGAGTCCAGGAAACAAACCAGAATGTCTTGGGGAAGAGATTGGAGCCGACAAGTTTCACTGTCGGAAACCAATGCCTCGTTGCAAAGCCTCTTCGACGAGGTTTTCTCAATCGGTGAATCAAACATCGACCCTTCCTCTGCTCCGGCAGAAATCAGAATCCTCTTCCTCCCCAATCCTCTCTTGTATTGCACGAATCCTAACCCTAACCCTGAATCTCCATCTTCCACAACCCGATGCTTCGAATTCGATTTCGATTTCGAATTCAGGGAACCGAATCTCTTCTTCCCCAATGCCATTTCGCCCAAAATAGGAAGAACTCACAAATCTTTTCAGGTAATTTCTGCATCACGAAAACAAAAGAGATGATCTTTCGAATGTCCAACCAAAACCGCGGAAAAACAGGGGAAGAGAATACAGGAAAGAAGAAACTGACCTTACTTACAAGTGGGATTCAGAAAAATCAATCCTAACTTTCAGAGATTCTTCACGAATTTTTTAGAATCGTGGAACGAACAATGATGTAGTTATAGTTGAAGTTTTTCTTCCTCTTGAGCAATTAACTCAATTATTTATTGGAACGAAAATCATAACTTTTTTCAAAAAAAAAATATCTTCCTTTTTTTTTATGTGATTATCCTTTGGCGGTTAACAGCGATAGGGGGCAAAAACTAGCCGTTGGGAGGACACGTGGCGCGTCTTAGCATGAGTAGGAACGAACGTGGGTAGTGCATTGCTGACATGGCGACATGTCGGTCAAAATCCTTTGTTTGTCGGTCTAAATTCACACGCTTTTATTTAAATTTAATTTATTTATTTGACGTCTTTATCTTCATTGGGTTCCACAGAGTAAGCAAACCACCGTTTTGTGGTACTTCCAGGAACCACGTGTAGTTTCCACCCCAATCCATATGCGCCGCCCAAAAATAATCTATATATATATATATATATATATATATTGATCTATATTTAATTTTAAATGCTAATAGGATATTGACTAGAAACGATGTATTTATGTGATGGTTCATTAAATGATTCATATCAATTGTACTAAATTATGAAAAATTAATTGGAATTAAATCATTTATTTAAATGTAATTTAATAAATAAATGTCTAAAACTAAAGATGTGACAACCCAGAGTACCGTAGGAGGGCGGGAAGTGATCGCCGGTGTAGAGGTACGAACAAGGGGCGGCTCCTGACGAGCTTCTGGGTAGGGGGTACAGAGATGAATCGAACACACCGGAATGAAAGAGATCCGAGGGCTGTATAGGTATGGGACTATACAATCTAAAATAACATAAAAGAATTAGTTGAGCTACTCATAGCAACAAGGTGCACTTACCTTTTTGGTTGACTATCCGAGAGAACTCCAAAGTTAAGCGTGCTGGCTCTGGAGCAATCTCAGGATGGGTGATCTACTGGGAAGTGTCTCGGTATGCGTATGAGTGAGGACAAAAAACACGCTGAAAGGTCTCGGGTTGCTGTGTGAGGGCAGTTTCGATAATTCGTAGCGGCCTCGGGTATGCGTATGAGTGAGGTCTCGGCTCTGATACCATCTGTAACAACCCGAGGCCGCTACGAATTGTCGAAACTGCCCTCACACAGCAACCCGAGACCTTTCAACGTGTTTTTTGTCCTCACTCATACGTATACCGAGACACTTCCCAGTAGGTCACCCATCCTGAGATTGCTCCAGAGCCAGCACGCTTAACTTTGGAGTTCTCTCGGGATAGTCAACCAAAATGGTAAGTGCACCTTGTTGCTACCTTGTTGCTATGAGTAGCTCAACTAATTCTTTTATGTTATTTTAGACTGTATAGTCTCATACCTATACAGCACTCGGATCTCTCTCATTCCGGTGTGTTCGATTCATCCCTGTACCCCCTATCCAGAAGCTCGTCAGGAGCCGCCCCTTGTCCGTGCCTCTACACCGGCGATCACTCCCCGCCCTCCTACGGTACTATGGGTTGTCACAAAAGACCCTTTAACCGGCATATATTTAAAATAACACACTTAAATAAAAGTCCGTACATAAGTTCCTTACAAAAGTCAATTCAAAAGAAAATATTTCCATAGATTTGTATTGGATTTCTATCACTACATAGTCATTGGTCAAAACGAGATGTTTGTCTGTCATTTTATTTTAGGGTGAGAAAACACCAAATAAAACATCTAAAATATTGTTAATATTTGAGTTATTTTTTTTAATGGGTGAAAATAATAAATAACATGGAGGTCAGATCAGTTGGGCCCGGTTTAGACAATTTATTGGGCCTATAAGCCCAAAACATTATCAAAGCCCGATTTTGTTCCTCTGTTTCCTGCACAGGCGTCGTCGAGATCATTGATCAAACCCAAAATCCTAATCGGAATCGTGACGTTCGGAGGAGTATCGCCATGGATAGAGATTTGGAGTTGGATGAGGCGGCTCCACCGACTACTGTCCGCCACATTAAGAAGAGAGCTCTCAAGGACCAAAGGCTCACTGTCTCCTTCAACGAGAAAGATCTAAGGTACTCACCAAGTTGTTGTTGTTGTTGTTGTGGGAATCGAAGTCAGACATAAACTAGACATTTTTGTAGTTGATTTTTGGTTTCGATTGCAGACACGAGCTGGGCATTTTGTAGTTGGTATTTGTCAGCGAAGTCAGATATGATCCGCGCATGTTGTTGTTGTTGTTGTTGCTTTAATTGGAAATCGAAGTCAGACATGGGCTGGATATTCTGCCATTGGTATTTGGCTGTGAAGATTCTGATGAAGATGGATGATCTAGTGTTTTCGGATTCTTGTGATTTAGGGATTTTATGGATGGTTCTGCGCAAAGAGAAAGAAGAAGAGGAGAAAGGAGACACGTATACAGGCGCGTAAAAAGGTTGGAAAAAGTTTTTCTTTTTTCCCCTGGTTTTGTATCATCCATACATGAAGATGAAGATCAAGTCTTCATTTTATTTGAGATTTTAGAATCCAAGCCATATTATATGTATCTATATATATATAAATAGTGTGAAAGATGTTATGGTAACAATGGAATATGCTCTAATCACTTAAATGGTAAGGATTTCTTGTGTAAACGTCCAAACTTCTTCTGGTGTTCATGAGAGTCTCAAGTTCTTGCTTGCACACAAACGCAATATGTAAAAGCTTCCATTTTTTTATATTTATTTTGGTTGGTACAATACAACACAACAAACTTAGCGTGTACATAAAATGTATTATCTTTTTTTTTCTCTCTCTCTTAAGTATCTCTATCTATTCATAACATGGTTGTGCAACATTGAAAGAAGATATACTTTGTGCAGAAGGGAATATAAGAGGCATCTATACGAGAGGATTTAGATTGTACGGGTTATTTTTTACACAAGATCGTTGTTTTCAAGATATGAGGATGGTCGGATTTCGGTTCAGATCTGTCCTTTTGTTAGGAATAATGGTTGTTTGCTCGGTTACGTTGGTCCAAAGTTGGAGTAAGGAAGGTCATATTCTGACATGCCGAATCGCCCAGGTAATGAGAATTTGTTCTTAACTTCTTATTCATTTCCGTGAATGGATTAACCGGAAAGACAAATTTAAAGTTGATATATATGCCAAGAGAAAGATGTATTATGTAAGCCATACACATGAAATGTTCCAAAGAGTTGACAGATTTTGAATCTTTTTTTAATGTATTGGATGATTTGGATTATGTAGAATCTTCTGGAATCTGGACCGGCTCATGCAGTAGAGAATCTATTACCAGATTATGTGAAGGGAGACTTGTCAGCTCTGTGTGTGTGGCCTGACCAAATCAGACATTGGCATAAGTATCTTTGGACAAGTTCTCTTCATTTCATTGACACACCCGATAAGGCTTGCACTTACAAATACTCGAGTAAGGGTTTTTTTTTTTGTGTTGAGAAAATTGAATTAAAAGGGTACGTTTTCATAGTAAATTCCCGCCAATTCATATTAGGATCGGTCATGAAAGTGATATGTTGTGATCCATAGTTATGGTCATGCATGTTATATGCTGCAAGTATGGTTGAGTTCGGGAATAAAAGTGTCAAGGATTCAAGATATATGAAACTAATTCTATATGAACTTTCACAAAAACATGAAAATGGTTGATGATGAGATGACACTCAAGGTTTTGTGAAAATATGAACTCTGGAATCAGGGGATTGTCATGATCAGCATGGATTGGAGGACATGTGTGTGGATGGTGCCATCCAGAATTTCACCTCTCAGCTTCTGCACTACGGTGAAGGAACATCTGATCGTCGACGTACGTATAAACATATATATACACATATATATATGTTTGTATAATTTAATAATCCATTGGTTTCTTGTGTTGTTTTGGCTTCTTCAGATAACATGACAGAGGCCCTTTTGTTCTTGTCACATTTCATGGGAGACATTCATCAGGTTTGTTTTTTATTCATTACAAAATAACTATATATGTTCATGTTCGTACCAATTTAATTCGCCCCACCCGACGATATTAACCAAATTTGATCATTATGTTACGAGTATCATTCATGAAATATACGGTTTCGAATGATTTATGATACGTTGAAAATGATTAGATTTCATTTACAGCCGATGCATGTGGGGTTCACAAGTGACGAAGGAGGAAACGCCGTTGAGTTACGGTGGTTTAGGCACAAATCGAACCTGCATCATGTGAGCTGATTTTAAATGCCGATTTCTTGTTGAAGGACTTTATTGTGCGAAGTAAAAACTAAAGATGAAAGTGGTAAATACCGAAATCTCAAGGGACTAAAGAGAAAAATATATGTAAAACTAATACAGGTATGGGACAGAGAGATCATCCTCACGGCTTTGGCAGACTATTACGACAAGAACTTGGACCTCCTCCAAGAAGACATTGAGAAAAACATCACCGATGTAAATAATAATTTACAATTTACATACCAAAATCGTATATTTATTTGACTGTGTTGTGAATTTAATTGATGTGGGTATGGTGCATGCAGGGAATATGGTACGACGATCTATCATCATGGAAAGAATGCGACGATCTCCTCTCTTGCCCGCACAAGTACGTGCTTGTTCATCATCGTCTAAGTTTAATTAAAGAAAAAGGATTTAAGGATGATTAATTATCATATAATATAAATATAACCTTATGATTTTGTTGGCAGGTACGCGGTGGAGAGTATAAACATAGCTTGTGAATGGGGTTACAAAGGAGTGAAGTCCGGTGACACGTTGTCGGGTGCGTTTCTTCTTCTGCCTTGTGCCCTAATCAAATCTGATCCAAATCTAAATTATACACTAATCTATATATATATATATGTGTGTATATGTGCAGCTGAATATTTCAAAACAAGAATGCCAATAGTGATGAAGAGAGTAGCTCAAGGGGGAGTGAGACTAGCAATGGTTCTAAACCGGCTTTTTGGCGAGGAGCCTCATGTCGGCGTTGCAGCCACTTGATCCCAACAAACATTTAATCTAATTTAAGGGGATTTGTTTGGTTAATTATAATTAACTCGACACTAATCACTCTTTTTCTTTTCAAAATAAACAAGCTTAACTATATATAAACAAGATTACAAATCTTTAATTTCGGAACATCTGTCTCTCACATAACAAAAAAAAATATATATATGTCTAAGGAAAATGAGGGGAAGAAGCTTTGGGGCCATGAAGGTGTCGAGTGGAAGAAAACATAGAGGCGAAGGAGTGCGCAAAACAAAGGACGATGGCCACTTTCACTTGCCCTCTCTTCGGGATCGGACGGCTGATGTTGCTTCCATCCCTCCTCCTGCGATCTCCGCCGTTGATCATGCTGACTTTTCTTCTCCCTCCCATTACTCTCTCTTGTTGACTTCTGAGATGGTCCAGAGCTATAAGCCTTTATTCAATCTCGTCTCTCTATATATATACACACGCGCGCCCGATGTGTTCTCTAAATGCCCTTTGTTTTGCTAATATTACCGTTTTGGCCCGTTGGTTATCACCATCTGAATTGACGATTATACCCTCGCCGCCCACTAGCCGATGTAATGATCAATCAGCTCCTTTTTTTTTTTTTTTTGTTAGAAACGATCTAGAAATCATGTGCTGATAAAGTTACTATTTTCATTTTGCATTAAAGTCCTATTCTATTTTGGATAATTTTTTTCATTTTTGTTAGAAGAATGTCAATTAATATATTGTTTTGGATCATTTTTGAAAAAATCATATATTTATATATGTTTTTATGAACATTTCTTTTTAACTTTATGAATATAGAGTACTTGTTTTACGTCAATATTTACTGAAAACCACCAATCTCTCCCACTAGATACTTAAATAATGCGAAACTATTTGTGGGGATATAATTATTTAATTTTATTTATACGGAAAATATAAAGTAAATGAATTACAGACCTGTATATCCGACAAGGGTCTTCTCACATATGAATAAATAATAATAAAAATCTTCGAGTGGCAGCCTCATGTATTCCATAGATTCATTCTTCTTTTAATTCATTAAATTATATAATATTAAGAAAAATGAAACGTTCTAGAAATCGATTATTATTTACTCGTGGAAATATGTCAAGAAATATCTGTATTCCGACAAAAAATGCGATCACCTCTTGTAATTGACTTTTTTTTTTTTTTTGTAAAGGTTAATCCAATTTAAATCTAATATTGATATCTATTCTATTTTTATAAAATGTGGTAATATTTAGTATTTAAAGTCCCCAAAGACCCAAATATAAATTTTACATGTCTTAATAAAAGAATGAGGAGTCTGTGTGTTTCATGGATATGGTTATTCGTCGTGCGTTTATACATGGGATATATTTATTTGAAGAAAAAAACAATCCATAAAAATATCTCATAATAATTACCGAAATGATAATTTTAATTACCATATTCTATTGAAGAATTATATCGAGTTTCTGTCACTTTATTAATGACTAAAAGATAAAAATACGTATACGCATACATATATGTCATATGCATTATATAAAGGATGTGATGGTCTCAATGATATAACAAACCATAATCCTCATCTTAACCAGACTTCATTAATTTTTATGTCATTCAAATGGTACAAAAACATTTTTTTTGACGTTCATAGAAATGGACAAACTCCCACCCCCGAGTTTGAAATTCGGGGCTCCAAATTTATTAATTATCCTTAAAAGGAAAATATGTTTCTTAACTAATTACAGGTAAACAGCATGTCCTAATAAAAAAAAAAGTGGGACACCTAACAAATCCATAATCAAATATAAATATCAAATGATTATAGTCCATAAACATATTATTATTATTATTATTATTTTTAATGCTTTTGTGGCACAAACCATGTGAGTGAAAGGGCCTTCTCCTCAACTGTCCACCACCTTGTATTCAAACCTTCAATAAATATGCCTTCCAATTAATTTAATTCAACCATCTCTCTCTCTCAAATTGAATAAATACACATTTTCTTGTCACCTCTCAACACCAATCCACCAAACGCAATGCCCACCAAATTAAATAGCTTCGTCTTCATCTTTGCCACTCTCCTCCTCCTCACACTCGAACTCTCCCACACTCTCGCGACCCGACCCGACTCATCATCCAAGAAAGGCAACGGAGGCTACTATGGACCCGGGTCGGAGCCCGGGTTTTCGATACCGGGGTTCGGGAGCGGGTGGGGAAACGGGATAATCGGCGGCGGATATGGTGGAGGATACGGCGGACCGAAGGGAGGGTACGGGAAAGGCGGAGTGGTGAGGCCGAAGGTGGTGTGTAAGGAGAAAGGACCATGTTTCATGAAGACGTTGCAGTGTCCGGCCAAGTGTTTCAAGTCTTTCAGCCGCTCCGGCAAGGGCTACGGCGGCGGCGGAGGCGGAGGCGGTTGCACCATCGACTGTAAGAGCAAGTGCATCGCTTATTGTTGAATAATATTTAATATTATGATATAAAAGTCTCTCTCTCTACATATATATATATATATGTGTGTTTATGTGTTATGGTGTTTATTTCTATCAACTCGATATCAACCAACTTTGTTCTCTCTCTCTCTCTTTGTATGATCTATAGCAGTGGCGACTTGAATAAATGAAATATCATATGTTTATGTGGTTATTTTTGTTGAATTCTAGAGAGAATTCAGAAATGGAAAAGAGATTTGAGAATAATTTCTGTATTGATTAATATGAAATGATCCATACAAAATGTATTTATACTAATCCTAACAACATACTCTAATACGCCCCCACAAGATGAAAGTGATTAACTTTCATCTTGGACAAATACAAAACGAAAACGAAACATTACAACCATGAATACCACAATCAAACCGAAAACTATATCAATGACAAATCGATCCTCGAACAAAGTCTCCACGACATGAAACGAAGTCTGCATGACTCGTATAGAGCCTCCACGGCACGAAACAAAACCTCTACGGCTCGAAGAAAACCTCGACGACATGAATTGAACCTCCACGGTTCGAAAAACGCCTCAACGGCATAAAATGAGCACCACGGCTCGAAAAAACACCTCCACGGCATGAGATGAGCCTACACGGCTCGACGAACGCCTTCACGGCATGAAATGAGTCTCCACGACTCGAGACAAAAACACGACCATCAAAGTCGAAAAACAAATGACGCAGCAAACCGAATCAGAAACCAAATCATATCTGATCAGTAAAACACCGGACAAAACCGGAGAACATGTCAGATGAAACAACCACAAAGAAAACCAAATCACACCAATCCAGTGGAGAAATCAAATGGTTGCAACAAGGCTGAAACCAGAAACAGTGTAACAAGACGAAGCTGGAGAAATTAAAGCATATCTGGAGACTATAATCTTCAATGAGATTAAGTCAACTAGCAGCGATCGGAAGTGTCACATGGTGCATGACACAAAGAATAGAACCATATCCATGGCTGATCGGAGATCAAGAGTTAGCTGAACCAATCCAAAGTGACGGATGAAGACGAGACAATTACGACACCGTAAGATCTAGCGAAAACGGCTGAGCATGCGAGAGATTCACAAACTGAATCACTGTCCAAAACGACGAAGTGTGAAAGTCAATCGAGAAGATCCAATGACCTCGCAGAGAGAGAAAGCAACCAAATCTGAGAAGACATCAGCAAAAGAGACGAAATCTGAGACGATCTTGCCGAATTCAGTGATGGAACTCAGAGAAACATGGAAGAATGTTCAGATGGTACAGTTCTGCGAATCAGAGATAACAATCAGCTAACCACCAACTCGAACAGACAGATTTGAGAAGACCGATACAATTTGCTTCGACGACAGAGGAGATGATTGCGGAGACTGCCAGCAAGTGTAGATCTCAGAAATCTCCAGTAGATTTGGACAGCAACATCATTTCGAACAACTCGGAGAACGACGAAGAACACGAACGGCGAATCATCAATCTGAAAACTCGAACAGATAGGATCCAGAAGCTGGTGACACTTACGGAGAAGAAATCGGAGGTCGAACAGAAAACGATTGAGTAGACTTGGCTTCGATGACAGAGAAACCTAGTGGATCGGAGGATTTGCCGGCGAATTTCGCCGAAGGTAAATCAATCGTGCAGGAAACAAAAAATTTGCAATGGAAGAAGATGATGTTGAACTTGAATAAGAGAGAATCAAATTTGGTGAAATACAAAACAAATCTGGTGAAATTTTGGAAGAATTGAATCAAAGATGAGAAATGAAAAGAGGAACAAATGAAATCTCCACAGAAAATATTTTCTCTCTGATACCATGTTGAATTCTAGAGAGAATTCAGAAATGGAAAAGAGATTTGAGAATAATTTTTGTATTGATTAATATGAAATGATCCATACAAAATGTATTTATACTAATCCTAACAACATACTCTAATAATTTTTGTTCTCATTTTGTATGATATAACTTGAATAAATGGAGTTTGATATAATATGTTAAAATCAGTAATGGAGGTTTGGTCTTGACCAAAGAGGAGGAGGAGGATGATGATGATGATTCAGATAAAGTCTCCTGCAATTTGCATGTTCGAAAGTCTCACTAAAAGGCAAATCCTCCAAAAAGTCAAATGATACATCTCTTTCTTTGAGTGGATGTTGATGGAACCACCATATACGAATACTAATTTCATTTCACATTTCTTTTCGTATTCAAATTATTATTATTGTTATTATTATTATGGACACATGAAGCATGACTTCGCTTTATACCAACGGATGAAACATGGAGATCCACATTCAGATTTGCCCTAAGGAGTAGAGGTCGGTTAAGGTGCCCTTGTCGTTATGATCTAGCCTAGGGGACAAGGTACACCCTCAATGTGGGACCCTTCGCTGAAATAATTGAACGTAAATACTCTTTCCGTTTTAAAATATTTGTAGTTTTAAGTTATTTTCCATATTTCAAAACATTTTTTTATAATAGTTTCCAATTTTATCCATATCAAATTCTAATAAATTATTTATGATAACATTATTTTTATCATTATGATTTTTTATCTTTTTTTGTTAAAAAATGTGAAATAATCTAAAAGAACAATTATTTTGAAACGGAGGGTCAAATCAAATACAAACCGAAATCCCAAATCCGAGAGGCCATAGCTGCTCAGATATTGGTTTTGTGAAGACATTATGACATTAAACAACGATCCATATGAATTGTGTTTTCAGAGCGTGTGTATGAACTCTCAAACCTGAAAAACACTCCATTTACATTGAAAAGAACATAAACATACGAACACAGATGCAATTGTCTGACCAAAAACCTACCCGACAGCCACAGACAATTATCACAATGAGATTAACACATTCAACAAAACCAAACACAACACCTCAAAGCTCAGAAGATGTAACGTAACGTTTTATACGGCCGCCCTCAAGGCGCCTCTTGCGGCCTCTCGTCTCAGCTCGGCCGCTTTCCCGCTCCCCCGGAAGTACATGTATACTTGCTGCAATGGATTATCACCGTAACAACAAAAATGTGAAAACAAACTCTACCATAATAGATTGATAGTTTGGTGAGGTTCGGGAACAGACCTGAATAACCCAGACGCTGACTACTGATTCGAGGCAGAAAAGCCCGAACCCGATGAAGTAGAAGATCTGGTGAAGAAACGACGATAAATCAACGATTGTAAGTTTATGCGTTAGGACCCTTTCTATATTTGTTCGATCCGATCGGCGTAACGCTCGAAAATTTAACGTTTCAGGGGACGATAAGAACTTACCCCGACCAAAGCGTGCTTGTTCAAAACGTCTATTGCAGGCAAGATACCCCTGTTGTTTCAAAATCAAAATATCATTAAATCTACAAGCATATGTTTACTATGTAATCAAAATCACTATTTTGGAAATTAGGATAGCATAAACATCTTAGAGTTGTAAGTATACATACGCAAGAGATTTTCCTTTGAAGACGACCGGAGGAGCTACTGCAGCGAAGATGCAAAATGCAAGGTGGAGCTGTGGCCAGAAGAAAGTGGTGGACAGATTTCTAGTTAATAAACAAAATCTATGACAGATCTTCGATGAAATCGATAGATAAGGATGGTGACTCACCAGATAGAACAAGAAAAACCATCCAAAGCTCAATGCACTTTCAGTTCTGTCGGCATCCAACAACAGGAAAGGAGACAAAAAATAAGACTCGAAACGAGAAACACAAATAAATGAATCCGAAAGTGGAAAAAAACCATTCAAACCCTTTTTTTTTCTCAAGTGGCTAGACAGAAGAAAAGTTGCTCTATGATTAACTAGAATTTGCCTAAGCAAGATCCAGAACTTAGGGGTTTGTCCCAACGTATTAATCTATAAAAGCACTGCATTCCACATTACGAACCGTAATACTAATACAAGTTTTAAGGGGCCAAATGATGAACTCGCTTCTCAAGACGATTCAAGAATGCAGAAATAGCAAATGCAGGCAATATTTAAGGGGAAAGAATAAGAACCTGAAGGCACGATAGAGTGGTCGGTACCATAAGACATAGGCTCCTGGGACACCGGCTATAAAGTAAATAATAGCGAGAAGCCAGATAGTCACTCCTGGACAAAAGGAAACAACCACAAGTCTGTAAATAAGCAGATATTGGTCCTACAGAAGAATCAACAGGCTGGGATGAAAAATTATAAGGCTTCTAAAAGGGTGGGAAAATGAGAACAGACCTTCTCCTTTGATCCAAGCTGTAGTAACAGCTATTATATTCCAGAAAAGGCACAGAACCATACCTGCAGAACACGAATCAGACATGAAAGTATGACCCCATGTCTCCAAATATTAAGATTCCAGAAATGGAATGGATGCATGTATATCGCTTTAAAGAAAGTATGACCCCGTGTCTCCAAATATCAAGATTCCAAAAAGAGAAGTATCAGTGTAACAACGAAGTTGATAGAGACAACTATTTACTTACCCAAAAATGTTGCAAATGCAACATATTGAAGCCTCTGCAGATGGATTGGAATTTCGTTTGCTATGTCATGGTGAATAATTGGGAAGAAGGGTGGCCAGTTTTTCACTTCAATAACAATTCCAGCTGCGAAAGAATGACACGTATAAGAGCAGAATCAAATCATTCCAAAGCTCTCATGATCAAAGTGGTACATGACATCTGACAAAACATAAGCAGACACATCAAGGTAACATTATGCATTTCCCCTCCAAAAGATGGATATAAAAGAGCCACAATATTATTTTCCAGTAAGAAAAATGATACGGTCAATAGAGACAGGACTCAAACATCACAGTAAATAGATGAGTTCAAAATCCTTGAGATTAGAATACTCAAATTAGTGTTCGTAGATAACTACCTCGAGCAGCAGCATCCTCTTTCCGCTTTAGTTCCTACATGGAACCAAAACAATTCATTTGATTTGAAAGAATTTATTTGCTCGACAATAAACTCGCTGAACAAAAAGGTAATGGGAACTTCAAAGACTTAGCACTTAACCACCAAAAAGGAAATATCAAGTCTATTCATAATGACAACATGCAAAAAGGTATTCACGAAATGCAAGTATTCAAAGTTAACATATCATTTCTCCCTTCTTTCCCGATGATTTCAAAAATAGAAATCTCCAGATGATGAAATATCACAACAAGTTATCACGAGAAGGGTAAAGGAAAGAGAAGAATCATATAATCACGAAGTACACATTTCAATATCCATAAAATGCTTATGCTGCAAAGGTTCAAGTTTTAGTATTGTAGCAGTCAGTTACCTGCTCCCGCCGTCTTAACTCAGCTTCTTTGGCTTGGAGCTCCTTCTCTTTCTTCTTCAAATTCGTATTCTGGTTTTCATAAACGATAAAACAAGGCAAAACCATCATAATTTATTCAACTGTTCACCTAACCACGAAAATATTCCATATATCTACTCCATCCAGCCAACCTGTGAAGTGGGGCCTGATCTGTCGAGAGGAATGTCGACCGTTGCATCACGACCGTAGTCGAAACCAACAGGCTCTGGAGGCAAAGGCGAAAGTCTGGAATTCGACGCAGGTGGGACACCTCCGGAATTCTACAAAAAGTTCACGAATTTACCAAAATCGATTAAGAATGAAGGTACTTACTCCATGAGAAGCAGATAGAGATAAACAGATGAACAAAACAGAGGAAAATACAACGAAGGCACGAAAGAAACCCAGATTCTAGATTAGTTCCGTAACACTTCAAATTCGTTAAATTCAAAGCTCGGTAATGGAAACTTTTACTCTTGTTGAAGAAGATTCAAAACTTGGATCATAATCTCCCAAAATTTTAATTTCCGTAACCATATCTAGCATTCCAAGCTCCACAAGGAAATCAATCAACAACAGCAGCAGCAAACGAAGCAGTTCGTAGTAAAGCAAACCCCGAAATAAACCCTAAGACCCGAAAACCCCTATTCGAAGCAAACATTAACGGACCGAATTCGAGTCCGAATTCTGAAGAAAAAAAAACAGGAAGAGGGAAAGGAAAGCTTACAGCGAAAGGATTGACTTCTTCCTCCTCATCGAAGGGATTACGATCGTAGCGATTGGCCATGACGGGGGGGAGCTCGCCGCTTCAGAAGACGAGATGATGAAAACGAAATCCGATTGGAACCTAGAAATCGATCTGAGATCTCAACAGAGACCAAGGTCTAAGGAAAGAGCAGACAGATTTTACAGGGAAAGCGTAAATATTCCGAGAGAGAGTTTCTTTCTGAAATTTCTAAGAGAGAGAGATAAGCTGAAATGTCCTTTGGTCAACATGTCCGTGTCTCTAAGAACGTTAGAAAAGTCTATCGCCAAAATTAAAATATTATATATTTATTTATTTTTTCTAGAAAGAAAAAAAAACCTGTACTTTTATAATTTAATACCTCAAATAATATTAAAAACGAGTTTTAATTTCATGTGCATTAGTCTAATCTTTGAATTCGTTGTTGTTGCTGCAGTTGGGCTCATTACACCTTCAAGATTAAATGAAGTTTTTGGTTATTCAGTACAACATCTTAAATGATTGCAATTATCAATACTTACAATTACAAGGGGAAAAAAATCTGTAGTAATTACAATTTTACCTAAGAGACCATCATACAGAATTACTTTTTTCCAATTTAACATCACGTTATCAAGTATTTTTTTTTTTAATGATTAATTATCATCAAATAATCCATCCATTTTCAAATAAATATTGCTTTTATTTTTTTCATTGAAGAAAAAACATATTTCTACTGTTCAAATATAATTTATTTGTTATGAATTCAAGTCTGTCCCTTCAAATTAAATTAACACAATTTTCAAAAGAATATAAATAGTTCATCTTTTTTTTTTTGGTTTAATATCTATGAAGACATTAATATACAAAAATTCATGAGAATTACAAATATAGTAAAACTAAAAATATGATTCCAATTATCCACAAACCCATTCTCTATGAAAAGAGAGATGAAGCTTTAACTCATCACCATTGATACTAAGACATGTAACATCATCATCATCAACAACAACAACAAATCCTACAATCAAAATAGCTAAGTGAACCATCAATCTACCTCGGTCTCTGTTTCAATGCATTCCAATTGATTCTTTGATTCCTCTGTTTACCTTCCAATCTCCTCGCCGCCGCCGCTGCCATGGCGGAGGAGCCCTTCTTAGCCGCCGCCGCCGCAGGTTTCACCGGAGGCGGTGAATCTGTCCCGAACGTTCTCTTACCGCCACTCGCTGTCTTTATTACATCATGAGAAACATGACTCGTCTTCCCGAACCGTGTCTTGAGAGACTGACCGGTTCGAGGTTTTCTCGTCGAACTCGAACTTGAACTCGTCTGTTTCAAAGGGGCTTTCCATATCTTCTCATCTTCTTCAATCAGATACTGTCTCAGTGACTTTGTGACGATGTCTCTGAGTGAAACAGCGGATTTGTGTTCGCGAGTGTTCTTCGAGTAGAAGAACGATGCATTGTTCGCCACCATGAGTAGGTCCCGGAAAAGCTCTTTCGCTGAAGATATCGAACGATTCGTGATTCTTGATTGTATCATGTCGAAGTCCATGTGTCGACGTACGAGTTTCTTGTACCTTCCCCGTTTCTGTTTAACCCGATACAAGCTCGAAATCGTTAACAATGGCGGCAGAATAAGAGGAACAGACGTTTTCATAGTTAACAAAGCTTATGAATCACCTGGCTATCGAGTCGTCTACGAAAGACAGATGCACACTCATTCCGTGAAATCGTGTTGTATATCCTCATCAGCTCGTCGAGTACAAGAATTTCGTGGCCTCGGGTTTGATTTCTCGGACAAGAATTACTCGTCGAAGCTTCTTTACACCTCGAGAAACTTGCCATTTCCATGGAAGAATCCAGCACGATGTCCCTTACGAAAGGACTGAGTTCCTTCACATCCTTACTCAAGTCTTTTCGTTTTCTCTTCCCTCGTCTCTTCCTCATACTCGGAAGTACTTGACCGCCGAACACGGTTCCGAAAACCTTTTCAACATGCGAGTTCTTGTCTTGCTCTATTACCAGAGTCTCCAACTTGGGGTCAGGTGACCAGTTCGATGTCGGTGCCTGCTGAGTGAAACTACCAGCCGACGAGAGATCCCTCGACGTGTCTTTACTCGTGCATTCAGGTCCATCGGATTTTTGGAACGGTTCCGCTGATACTGTTCGGCTCGAATCGTAATCATTCTGACATTCGTCATCTTGTTCGGCTTTGAGGTTCTGAAGCTTTGATTCCAATGACCTGAAACCGAAAGACAGCAAATACGGGATTCTAGTAAAAACAACATTCCCGAATCAGCGGTTGTAAGTTTTCAGTTACTGTTTTTAACAAACTGTAACATAGATTTATGGTGTCGGAATTTGGAAATGGTTCAGCTAATCGGATCATGGCAATGAATGCGTCAACACGAAAAAATGCTACAAACCCAATCGAGTCTTCCGATTTCTGCAATGCTGCCCTAAGCTCTGCCATCCGTTTCTTCTTCAGCTCTTCAAACCATGCCCTAGAATTTGTAAACAAACACGCGATAAATCTCTCTTCGTATCATAAATACACGAACCAGACCAGGGAATTCGTGCATCAGCAAAGAGCAATGCATCATTCGGAAGAAAGCATACGATAAAGATTGAATATTTATTTGGACGGAACGAAAAAAAGAGAGGAAAAGGCAAGAATCTTTACTTGCATCCCGAGTAACGGTGGTGCAAGTCTTCATACTTGGCCTTGCATATCTGCAATTAGAAAACCATCTCAATAAGTAAATCTCAATGCGGCGTAGAGGTGATATCGTGATACATTACTCTCTCACAGATCACATTTCATTCCTGACCGATGTTCATAGATTGGTTGATTGCTATACGAGGAAACAAGATATACTTTAACCGTGGTTTTAAACCGTACACAACTTCACCCTGCATCGAATTTGGAAGAAGATATGATATTCCCGCTCTTC